GGTTCCCCCCCCTGTATCGTCCCCCCCCCTGAGACCACTCCCCCCAAAACAAAGACAGAGCACCACCCACGTTCTCGCATGACAATGTCCAGCTGGGAGCGGAGGGTGGTGATCTCCTCCTGGTAGCGCGAGATGAGGGTGCTCTGGTCCATGATCTCGTTGCGCTTGGCGGCGATGGCGATCTTCTTGGCGCGCGACGCGAACTTGAGCGTGTTGTGCGTCTCCTCCGCCTGCGTGGAGGCGGGCGTGACCGTGCACACCACCGCCACCCTGGCGCCAGAGCCTGCGAGGGCGTGGTGTGGAGTGCATGGGTGGCTGGGAGCGTGTTGTTGACCATGGGGCAGGAGTGCCGAAATGCACGCCTCACTGCGCACGCTGCGCAAGGCGCCTGAGTCCAAGGACGCCCGGTCTGCATCCAGGTCACAGCCCTGCCGGATTTTGCAATCCTGCTCCCTGCTGGGCGCCCACATCCACTTCATGGGAAACCTCCCTCCCCTCATGAACTCTTGTCCTCATCCCCCGAAACCATGCCACCCCCCCAAACACACCCACTGCTCCACCCACTCACCCGTCAGACTGGACTGGAGGAGCCGCGTGAGCTTGGAGTCGCGGTAGGGGATGTGGGCGGCGTTCCCCTCCGCCAGCTTGTGGATGACGGTGCCCAGCGTCAGCAGCGACTTGTTGATGAAGGAGCCCTCCATGCGCTGCTTGCTGTGGATCTCAGCTTTCGCCGACTCGGAGCCGGCCAGGTCGATCAGGTTCAGCAGGGAGAAGGTGCGGCGGCCGCGGAAGGAGGGGTCTGCGTTGGCGCCCGGTCGGTCCCGGGCCTCAATGGACAGGCGGATGATGGTGTGGGAGCGGGAGGAGCCCTCGTTGAAGGCTGTGGCGGCGGTCTGAGTGAGTCAGGGTGTGGTGTGGAGGGGAGTGAGGTCGAGGCAGGAGTGCGCGGCGGCCATGAGGCAGACACAGATGAGGCGAGAGGCGTATGCGTGGACCGGCGCTGCCATGCATGAAGACATACGCTGGTGGGTGCCCGAGGTGGACCAGGACCCGATTTGCATGCCCAGGAAAGCGCGCCCTGCTGCGCTCCACACCTTCACCCTGTCCTGAAGCGCTGCGCTGCACCCCTCGTTCACCCCCGCGGCCCCTTAATCTCCCTCCTCTCCCTCGCCACCCACCATCACCCCTCCTGCCAGGCACCTCCCAGTACTTTGGAGGTAGCACGCCAAAGTTCCTCACCTTGCGGTTCTCGTTCCCGCGCGCGATGACCTGGATGGCGTGCTCCGCCGACACCAGGTTCTCCTCGGTGATGCCCTCCACGCCCACGCCGCGGCGCGGGTCCTCGCGCAGCTTCAGGTTGCTCCGCGCCGGGTCCAGCAGGTCGTTCAGCACCTCGTTGTAGATCTCCATCATGGACAAGCGCAGCGTGAACTCGGTGCGAGCGCCGGCACGGGCCACGGTGGCAAACACCTGGGCGATGGCCTGCGGGACCATTCCCGGGGCCGCCCCGGACCCCATCATCGTGTGCGTCTTGCCGGAGCTGGTCACGCCGTAGGCAAAGATGGTGCCGTTGATGCCATCCAGGGCGGAGGCCACGATGGGCGAGGCCACCGCGCCGTACACGTCGGCGTTGCTGGCGGCGCCGCCGAAGACGTGGTCGTACATGAACTTGACCTGCATGCCCGTGTCCTGGTCGGCGATGCCCACCGCCTGACCCTCGCACTCCCACACCTCGCGGTCGCCACGCTGGTACTCGCGGTCACTGGAGAAGTTTGGGGGGGAGCCGAGAGTGAGGTGGGGATGGTTGGATGGTTTGGATGAGGATGATCAAAGGATCATGACCTGCAGGCATCGAGAGACGGCTCGGCACCGCGGTGCAACAGGGCAGCTCCCATTGCTGACAGTGCTGGGAAGAGGGGTGGAGACAGCCCCACTGGGGTCCCCTGCCGCCCTCCTCCCCCCCCAACCCGCCACCCTGCTCGCTGACCTCATGGGACGGAAGCGGACGGCCACAAGGACATGGTCCTTGCGCACGGCGTCCGCCCCCTCATACTGGGCCTCCTTCATGCCGACTGCCTCGGGGCGAGCGAGATCTTGGTGTCGACTGGGGTCCCGGGGACGCTGAGCAGGGTTTGGGGAGTCACTAGATATCCTCTGGCGTGCCCTTAATTACTCCGTTTAGTAAGGCGCTGCGATACGCGACGGGATCTGGGCAGGCTCTATACTCCGAAGCCGGTGTCGGAGTCACCCCTGGCCCACCAGTACACGAGTCCCTCAGAGCCAGGCAGCCCACTTGCAGAATGGAAGGTCGGACTGTAATGGTGATGGGAATGGGGCTGGTAGCCCTCTCGTCGATGCGAGCGATCTTCCAGTGCTGTGCGTCCGGATCCAGACCTCCCGCCAGATCCCCCGGGCGCGCCCCCGTCGGGAATTTCAATACGAGAGGCTCCTGCATGATCCTCAGGGGGAAGCGCTGCTCGATGGCGAGGCAGGTCTGCGGCAGAAACGAGCTCCCTTGAGTCATTACTCCTACATCCCTGCGTGACGTGGCAGAGGCCTGGGAGCGAGCCTGCCTCTCGCCCCGCGCGATACAGCCCTAGCGGCCCTGCCCTGGCGCGATGGGCACCATGGAACCCTCCCACCAGCAGCTCCTGCGACAAGTCATCAAACGTGTGCACCCCGACCTGTTTCTGGCGCATCCCTTCGAGATGAAAGTGAACTCCGACTCCCTCCAGGTGCGCAGGGCCGTCGATGGCTGTGAGCTGCCCCCTGGCCTCCCCACCCTGCGGATGGCGCATCAAGGATCGGCCTTCCCTTCCCCAGCCTCTCTCGCCTCACCCCTCAACACCACTCCACCCCAGGCCTTGAATGCCTATGCGGACCAGCTGGCTGTGGGCGCATCGCCCACCCCTGCCCAGCTGGAGTTTTATGTCCGGACGGGGGACGCACAGGCTGGGCTGGCGCTGATCACGGCCACCCTGCCCGGGGACGGCGACCTGCTGCCCCTGTTCTCCGCCTTTGGACTGGCGGACGAGGCCGCGGCCCGCGGGACGGGCGAGCTGTTTGCCCCCGCCGCCAGCCTCGCGGCCTGGCTGAGGGAGTCTCTGTCCGACGCCGCGCGGCTGGCGGGAGAGCACGCAGCCCTGGCCGCGGCGTCCCAGGAGCTCCGCACCGCCGTTGAGCGGGCGTACGACCTCGGCCATCTGCAGGTGGGCTGGGGCGGGGTGGGTGTTGGGGGGGGCCAAGAAGGTGGCTCGCGGGGCCTTTGTCGGGTTGGAGACATCTGTCGAAGCCCCTGCCCTAACCACCAGCTCTTGAATCTCAGTTCTTGGGGAATGAAAAGAATCATGCATAGGTCCAGCCCTGAGCCCTCTTCCCCATGACGGCTTGCAGCTCTCTACATCTCACCCATTCTTCCTTCTGTACTCTCACACACAGCTGTCCAATGAGTACCCCCTCCAGTGCTCCGAGCAGCGCCGAAACCTGGTCGCCCTCCGGCTGTTGGAGGGCAGCCTGTCCCTGCTCTCGTCAGACAACCCAGACCGCTTCCAGGGCCTGCACCTGAGGTGTGATGCCTTGCTGGTTTCTGATGTGGGACTCCCGTATTGCCTTGGGAAGTAGCGATCCCAGCCATGGCTATAATGCTGTGATGACGACGACTTCCCCCCGTACACCACTTCCACCCCGCAGGCTGTCGCCCGGGGTCCCCGGCACGGCTGGCAACCGCGCTCGTGAGTGCCACATCAGCGACGACGGGGTGGTGCACCTGGTGGCGGAGGACAGCGCCTCCACCCTCCAGGCCCTGGCGGCCCTGGACATGGGCCGCGCCCGCCTTCTGGCCCGCGTGGCGCACTTCTGGCGGCGCAGGGCCTGGTGAGTGGGCGAGGAGGGGTAAAGGAAAGGGAGGGAAAGAGGATGTGCACCAGATTAACAATGCTGGAAAGGGACGGCGGGCGGGCGCGCGCTGGGAGTCCGAGGTGTTGCAGGCGAAAGGGTGGCTCAGCATCACGAGTCTTGGAGGCACCTGCGCTCCTCCGCGGCATCTTGTGCATGAGTCTTCATCTGTCTCCCAAGCTCCAGGCATCGAGTAGGGTGCTTGCTGAGATGTCACAGGTCCCGCAAACTGTCCCCCCCCCCTGCCCGGGCCCCCTTCCCCAATTTTCGCTCCCCCCTCCTCCCCCCACCCAGGGACCTGGAGGCCCCCCTGGCCTCCCTCCTGGGCGTGCGCTGCGTGGCGTGCTACAGCAACGACATGCACAGCCACCAGGCATTTGTGCTGTGGGCCGGCGCCGTGCTCCGCGCCCGCCACCGCTTCGAGGCCGCGCTGCGCGGCCGCGCCTTTTCCTTTGGCCTGCTGGTGCATGCCGGTGGCTCTGGCCCGGTGCTGGACCCCGTTCCCGCCAGCGCCTACGTCCAGGTGCGTGCCGACTGCCACCCCTCCCAGCTGCTGGAGTACCTGACGGGGGCCGCCGCGGCGGCCGCCGACGCCGCCTCCGGCGTGGCGGAGGCCGCGCGCGCCGCTGAGGCCGCCGCGCTGGAGGCGGCGCGCGAGGCGCTGGGCGTGCGCGCGCTGCTGCGCCTCTGCTCCTCCGCGCCGCAGGCCGCGGCCGCCGCGGCGCGGCTGATGCGCTGCGCGCCGGCGCTGCGCGCCGCGCTGCCCGCGCTGCGCCTAGTCTCCCTGGCCCTGGACGACGGCTACCACGTCTGGGACTCGGGCCTGGTCTCCATCCCGCACGACTTTGGGGCCTCGGAGCTGGAGCCTGCGCTGCAAGCGCTGCTCGCCGATGCGCGGGTGGGCGCCGGCGCCTCGCCCGAGGGCCCGCGCCAACTCCCGGGGACGGCGGCGAGCAGCGACGGAGACCGCGGCCGCGCGCAGGCGGGGCTCGCCGCGGCGGCCACCGGCCGCCCCAGGCGGGGTCCGAGCACAATGCCACCGCGCCGCGCGCCCCTCGCCTCGTGGGGCCGAGCCGCGACGCGCCGGGCGTGCGCTGGAGCACCACCCCGCCTCCTCCGGCCGATGGGGTCCCTCCTCCGGCGCTGAGCTCCCCCCATTCTTTGCACCCCCGACCCCTGGCCCCATCCCAAATAAGCTGTGCCTCCGGTGCACGGCGTGTGTATGTTACATGGGGTGTGGGGGTTTACCAAGGCACGTGATTGCTCCCTTGCAGGGTTAGGGGCAGTGAGGGGTGAGGTTCGGTCCGGGGAGAGGCATGCATGGGTGTCCGGCTCCTGTCAATCCAAAGGGGTCCACGTCGGGAATGGGTGGGCAAGGGCAATGGGCTGTCTAGTCAGAACACGGGGCATCCAGGGGAGGGGAGGGGCGGGAGGACAGCAAGTGAAGAGGGTGGGGTCCGCCTCGGCCGCGTGGGCGTCGACGTGATCAAAAGGCAAAGCAGGGGCACCAATGCGCGTCCCTCAGTGGCAATCGATCGTATGGTGGGCGTGAGGCGGGGGGCGCGTGCCGGGCCGTCCCCGGCACACCTGCGCCGCCTCGGTCAAAGAAGAAAACGGGTCAGAACAAGCGCTCGTGTGTTCCGTTCTGGTGGGGGGGGGCGGGGCGCGGCGCAGGGGTGGGAAAGGTCTCCCGCCCTCCCGCGCCCCTCCGCCGCCGTCATCGTGAGTTTACGTTCCTGCATCACTCAATCGCTCTCGGTGGCTCCGCTCCACACGCCGAGGCCTCAGTAGGCCAGCCGGCGGCGGGAAGCCACGGCAACGCCGTCCTGCGCCGCGGCGCCGGCGACGCTGGCGCCCACGCGCCGTGTGGGCGACACCAGCATCTCCATCGCAGCGGCGCCGCCGCAGACCAGCAGGCCGTGCGTGCTGGCGCCCAGGGCGGCGGCGGGGAGGCTGGTCTGGCCCACGGAGCTCGGCGACTGTGAGGGGCGGCGGTTGGAGGTCGCGTTGGTGAGCTGACGACACGCCGGGACGCTTTACAGCCAGAGACATGGATGCCTGATGAACCCGGGATCCTGCAAACCACAGGGCCTGCACTCGAAGTCGGCCGACCGGCCTCGACCTCCCCTCTCCCCCGCACACACATGCACCTTGTCCTCCAGGGTGCCAAAGCCGGGCACATCGTCCTCGGGCCGGATGGGAGCCAGGGCCTTGCCAAACAGCGACCGCCGGCTAGGGCGGGGCTGACCGCTGCAGCCACCGACGGCGCGGCGCGCGCGGCTGGGCTGGCCGGGCTCCGCCAATCCCCGTGCCGACACGGGGCGGGAGGGGGACGGCACGTCCAGGGACGCGGCGGCGGCCGCCGCCTCGCGCAGCAGCAGGCTCTGCGGGTCGACGCGGGCGCCGCGGCCCATGCGGCACAGCGCCGCCTCGAAGACGCTGGCGGGAGGGGGCTGGTGGCCCGGACCGCCGCGCCTGGGCGAGGGGCCGGAGGCGCCGCCCTGCTTTGAGCCCGCGGCGCGCGCAGGGCTGGTCGCGCCGTCGGCCCCGACGCTCCCGCCGGGGGAGCCTGGGGGCGACAGCACGCTGAACTCGATCTCCGCCTCGGCGCGCCTGCCCTCCGCCGCCCCGCTCCGGCCCCTGCAGGCCGCGGCCACCCCAACGCGCGGATTCTTGTTCAGGGAATAGCCAAAGGGCGAGAGGATGGGCGCGCCCACCAGGCGGCACAGGAAGGCGTTGGCGATCAGGGCGTGCACCCGCATGTCGGCCAGGATGACGGGGTGGCTCTCCACGTAGGTCAGGTCCTCGGAGCCCAGGTGCGCCAGGCGGATGCAGGCCTTGAACGTCTCCAGCAGGTCCGGGGCGCGCTCGTCGCGGTCGGCCTCGATCCAGGCCGCCAGCGCGCGGAAGACTTCGGCCTCGGAGGCCACCGCCACGGCGTCATCGGACAGCAGCTCTACCAGGTGGGCGTGCGACATGGTCACCAGGCCGGCGTAGTCGTGCGAGGTGACCAGGGAGAAGTGGGAGGTGGACAGGCGCAGCGCACGGCGGCGCAGAGGGGCGCACCCCGCTGACCGCGCCAGGCTCAGCAGGCTCAGCGCGTTGTGGACCGACAGCGCGTCCAACAGGGCGGCCACGCACAGGTCGCGCGCCTGGCGTGCCTGCGACGATGGCGGCAGGGGTGTTGGTGAGGCACAATGAGTGGCGGAGGCCTCAAGGCTTCCACTGTCAGCATGTATGGGTCTGCTTGGAGGCGGCCACAAAGTTCAGGACAGTGCAAAAAGGCTTCAAAGTGCAGGATCTGCCAGGGGCCATGCTCCTTAATAGGACCCCCTACCACCCACCTCAGAGAGGGACGCCTGGTGCACACATCGCATGAAGGCCTCCTTCAGGCTGGCGTACCCGAACACTGCCTCCTGCAGGCGGTCCAGCACTTGGATGCCCAATGGGCATGGTGCACATGCAAACTCAAAGTCCGCGACCTCAACGTTCTGTGCAGGGGAATAAAGGATATAGGGCCTGAAAGTGAAAATATGTTGCGCGACAGGAAGGATGTCAGGCCAGTGATGTCTCGTGGGATGATATGGGGAAGTCTCAGCCAACGGACACAGCTGTCGCGAGGGCCGCGGGGTACCCCGTACAACTCCGGCGCACCTGGAGAACCAGGTCGGCCACTTGCGTCAGGTCGCTGGTGATGTCAGGATAGTGAGTGGCCCCGAGACACGCCTGCACCGCGGCAAGCCCTGCAAGGTTTGGAGACGCGTTGTTACGAATATCCGGAACACAGCTTGCGCAACAGTGGGCGATGCTGCACTTTGCGCCGAAACACCATCCACAAAGTAAGAAAGAACTTGTAAACAATGCGAAATTCGACATCAGCGGGAGCAAGCGCTCCGTCCCACTGCCAGCCGAGTGTCTGTCTCACGCAGTGCGGTAACAACGCCCCTCCGCACCCAGTTCCTCCGACTGCCTCACCCGCCCCGATGCTCCGCTCGATATTGGAGAGGGTCTTCTGACCTCCAAATCGCACGACCGCGGCGCTGAGCTCCCGACACTGGTATAGGGCGTGGAGGTATTCCACACCCTGCGTCATCAGTCAGCGAAGACCTGGCGTCAACGCTCCACGTCAGGTGCAATTTGGTCAATCGTCAGGTCAATTAAAAGTCAGTACAATCATTCATGCACCACACGAGCCGGTGGCTGACCATTACCAGCATCACTCGTTCCGAAACATCACCCAGTGGGTCGCTCCCTCCGCATCCGTTGGACCCAGGCGCGTGAGAGAGGGCGCGCGAAACACTTGCTCCTGCCAACCCCCCTTGGATGCAAGGAAAGGGTAGTGCGCCCGTGAGGAGCGAGTGGAAAACCTCTCGATACAGCTGCACGATCGTGGATTTTGACCAGTCCTAAAGCGGATATCTAGGGCGTGAGAAGGGGAGCTCTCACAATGACCACAGCACATCGTCCCACATGGGCACCCGCGAAGGTGCGTAGAGGGTATAGAGCATCTGTCGACATGTGATGCATCCTCGACTGAGACTGAACCCAAACACTCACGGCAGGGTGGAGAGGAGCAAGGTGGAATGCGCATCTTCGCCCCCAGCAAGCAGCAGTCGGTCAAGGACCTGCCGTCGCAGACTAGGCTGAAGTTTAGGTGCGCACCGTGCCTCTGTGCTTGTTTGAGGTGGAAACGGATCGTGGAAAAGGTCGTGAGATGAGACATACCATACTCTTGCAGGCAAGATGGACAGAGCAAGGCGGAGGAGCTTTCCCAGAAAGACTTGCGGGCGGAGTTGGAAGAGAAGGAGCGGGCTCACTACTTGAAAAACAAAATTCACACCTTTGAGGGTACACTGTGGGGGATTGGGGAGAAAGCAGGCGGAATGGTTGGCCTGCAAGCCGTTGATGCAGAGTTTGGGTACCCGTGCTGGGCAAGGGGATGCGGTGCATGTGCGTGTGTAGCCCTCCTTGCTCACTAATCCTCGCCTCCCCCCCATTGTGGCCCTGCAGAGGAGCGAGAAGATGACCTGAGATTACTGCAGAGCGCTTCCCATGCTCGAGAGGAACCGCCGCGAACCCTGATACCCAAAGCGGCCGATGCCGACGACGAGGACGACTCGGATGCTGCGGGATCCAGCGACGACGATGATGATGACGAGGTGCAGGTGCTGGGTCTGTTTACTTTGGGAAATAGTCCTAGAGACTCCTGCTGCACAGCTGTTTGCCAGCCTGTGTATGCGCCTCACGTGCCAGCCGCTAGTTTTTCTTTGCACCTAGAGGATACATGCTCCTGACCCATGTCGCCAGCCTGCGGCACTCTCACCATTCCCTCTCCACCTCTGCTCGACTACCAGGATGACGAGGCAGAGCTGCTGGCGGAGCTGGCGCGCATCAAGGCTGAACGCGCTGAGGAGGCTGCGAGGAAGGCAGCGGCTGAAGCCGCCGCCGCGGAGTCTGTGAACCAGGCCGAACTCCTGCGTGGCAACCCCCTGCTCAAGGAGAAACTGCAGGTACGAGTTAGTTGACATGGCACACTGATGAACAGGCTTGCTGTGCTTGGTGATGTCGCTTTCTCTGTCTGGCTGGGTACCCACACCCTCCGTGTGCTCCGGCGTTGCAGGCGGCGGCCGGCGGCGACGCCAGCTTTGCCATCAAGAGGCAGTGGGACGACGACGTCGTGTTCAGGAACCAGACCCGCGGCGAGCCCAAGGCCCAGAAACGCTTCATCAACGACACCATCAGGAACGACTTCCACAAGCGCTTCCTCGAGAAGTATGTGCGATAGGCTCATCTCCCATGTCAATATTTATGCATGTGACGGAGGAGCCTGACGAAGCGCCCGTAATCTTCCAACAAGGGATTCCTCTAGTTTTGCAAGGGCAGGAAAGTCCGCTGGTTTCGTGGCATGAAAACGTTGGCAAGCACGGGCGCGGGCCGTAGCTGGCAGGCAAGAGAATCTGCGAAGGGTGTTTGCCGGTGGCTGGTGGCGTAGCACAGCCGCCGGGGTCTACTGGCGCCGGGGCTTGGTCGCGCTGGGCATGCCCAGCCGGGAGGTGGCGAAGCCCGCCGCCGCTCGCGAGATGCGCCGCGCCTTCTTCCGCACAGACTGGGTGTACGGCTCTGCGTTTGTCCGCGGGGGGGCGGGGGGTTGTTGGAGGGGGTCCGAGGAGTACACTGGCATCGTAGGAGAACTTGGCTCTCCCAGCCCCGTCCACGCCACCATAGACAAGGTCAAAGTCAGCCCGACCCGCCCCCCAACCTGCATGAGCGGCAATGGCGTCGAGCTCGGCGGGGCGCAGGTGGCATCGCGCCGCCAGGCCGCCTGCCAGCAGCGCCGCGCCGCGCGTGGCCCAGCCGGAGACGAGCCACAGGGCCGTCAGGGCTGCGACCAGGGCCAGGGCCTTGTGGCGGCGGGTCAGCCCCAGCGCATTGCTCCTGGTCTGGGATTGGCGGTGTGGAGGGAGGTGGGAGAGGATGAGGTATGTGGCACGGCAAGGAGACTTGAGTGATTTTGAGAGAGGAGTTGTTTGGGGGTTGCCAAGCGGATGGGGGCTCCACATTCCGCTTCCAAACAGATCGGCAGCCCCTCTAAAGGACTGCACGTGTCCACTAAGGGCCCACTGCCCGAGATGCATGCATGGGGAGCTCTGACGAGCCCATGGCCTGGCTGTACGGGATCTGAACCGGACCCTCGACCCCACGTCCGCGTGCCCACCCCGTACGCCACCCCCCTCCCCAAACAGCACACACACCTCGGCGGCCGCGCCGAGCGCCCGCCATGCTGCCGATAGGCGCTCCGCATGCGCTGCGGCCAGCGCCGGCAGCGTGAAGGCGGCCACGAACCCCACGGTGAGCGCCGACCAGGCGCCCAGCACCTGGCCGACGCGGGTGAGGCCCCACAGCGCCAGCGCGCTGCGCAGCGCCAGCGCCGGGTCACGCGCCGTCAGCAGGCGGTCGTGTGCGGCGGCGGATAGGTGCACGGCCGTGGCCGCCGCGTCGGCGGCGCGCGTGGCGAGGCCGGAGCCGGCCAGCGAGGCGTGGGAGTCGCGTGTCAGCAGGCCCCGCACAAAGTTGACGCCCAGGAGGGCCAGGGCGGCGTGCGCCAGGGTGGGCAGCAGGCGCAGCGTGTGTGGGCCGGAGAGCGCGTAGTGCCCCGCCGCCAGCACCGCCAGGCCCAGCGCGAGGGCCGCGCCGCTCAGCCAGGGGTAGGTGTACAGGAGCAGGTCGGACAGGGTGAGCTGGGAAAAGTCGTACTGCTCGCCGGGGGTGCCCTCGGCGTCCGGGTCCACGCCCAGGAAGCGCAGGGTGCGGGTGCCCTGGGCCGGGGTCTCCCGGGAGGCATTGTAAGCGGGGATGCGGAAGCTCTGGCTCGCCTCCGTGATGCTCGACCTGCTGGGGAGGAACATCAAAGAGATGACGTGATGTTCAGGCGCGGACCATGTCTTCACGCCATTGCCCCCTGGGAGGGGCGTCCAGGCCAGAGCCTTGATGCCGACTTGCCTGTGCTTCAGGATCTCCCGGCGCAGCGACTCGGAGTCCGCGGCCTCGGTTGGGGTCGAATCCCAGTCCATGTTAAAGCTTGTTCAATGGGCAGCGAAGGTGCGCCTGAATTCACAATTGTAGGCGGTCCTCGCAAGGGACTCGACATTGATGGACAGAGAGGGAGTGGTTTTGAAATCGCATCTCGCTTTCCATCTCCAAATGAGGCAGGTGAAGTTTCCATGCATAGGCCTTGTTGCAATCCCAAAATAAAATAAGAATGCTATCAAAGCAACAGCACATCCAAGCTCCATGTCTTCATGCATTCTGGCTTGATGTATCATGCATGGACTCGTCCTCATTGATGCCCATTTTTGTCAAAGCGTCCATTCTACAGCGAAGGAGTGTGTGCTGGCGCGGTTGAGTAAGCGTTGAACAGTATGTGTCTTGTTCTCAAATTGCATGGTTGCATGCATTTATCTCGAGGGCGAGCTTAAGCATTTGTTCGTTTCCTCTTGCCTCCTGAGTGAGGAGTTGAATTCATGTGTAACACAAGGTAATCCACTATGGAGATGAAGAGCGTGCCCTGACACCTGACAACTCTGCACTGAGCACCACGCGCACAGATGGATGAATGCCAATTACATCCGACGAGCCATGCGCTCAAATTGCCACTCCCTGCTTGTGCAGCACATCTAGATTGCCTCGAGGTGTAAGTGAGAGCTTGTTCATGCACAGCATGGAGGGGAGCAAGTAATGCTTGGGACCTTGTACACTAGGAACAGTATAGAGGCAGTTAATCAGCTTAAGGTGTGAAGTCAGCATATCCGTGGAAACCATTTGAGCGACCCATTCCTGGTAAAGGTGACCCCTGCGCGTGAATACTTCACACGCCCATCCCCGACATCATTATTGGCACCCAAGCGCTGGGCGCAGTCGGCGTTAACACGGCACCCTTCGTCTCAGTGTCGGCGCAACACCCTCCTTCCCGACATAAGTAATCTCGCACACAAAAACCATTACTGTAAATGCACATTGTGAGCCGCATCTCCCTTCCTCCACCCACCCCCCATTGCCACGCCTTTGCTCGCCGACCCCCCCCCACTCGTTGTACCCGTGCCCCTCATCGAAGCCCAGCGGCAATGTCTCAGAACACCGTTGTCAGCATTGGCGAGATCCTGTATGGTGCGTGGCGTGCATGCGATAGCTGTTCCAGATCATGGCGGGGAAGGGATTTCCGACAGCATGCGCACCCCATTATCGCGCGCCCCCCCCCGCCTCCCATGCAGACGTGCTGGCGGATCAGCGCGGCGTGCCCAAGGAAGAAGTCACCTCCTGGTGAGCGATAGAGGTTTGGGTCGGGGTGCCTCCGGGATGGAATCGGGCCACCTCGCTCTGCTCCGGGCGTGAACACCCAGCCCCTCTCCCCCCTGCTCCCAGGGTGCCCTACCCCGGTGGCGCCCCGGCCAACGTCGTCACCTGCACCTCCCGCCTTGGAGTCCGCTCCGTGCTGCTGGGCATGCTGGGCACCGACCAGCTGGGCGACGACTTCGTCAACCTGCTCAAGGAGCGCAATGTGGAGACCAAGTACCTGCAGCGCACCCCCGACCACCCCACGCGCGACGTGCTGGTGACGCGCACTGCTGACGGCGAGCGCACCTTTGCCGGCTTCGGCAAGGCCAGGAGCGAGGAGTACGCCGACTGCTTCGTGGACGCCGAGGCGCTGCCCGCCGACGAGATCAAGGTACTTCGGAGGGGGGATCTGCTCGTGGGGAGGGGGGGGAAAGGGAAGGTGCTGAGGCCGGATTGTCATTGGCCGATGGATATCGATCCATACCGGGACCCGGGATTGCTTGATCAACCACTTGTCGGGCGCGTCACTCCCCCTGTCATCCTGTGCACCTCACCCCTCATCGTCCCCGTGTGACCCCGGCTCATCCCCCCACGCACAGTCAGCATCGGTGGTGGTTTCAGGCACGCTGGGCCTGGCCTACCCCGGCTCCGCCGCCGCCATCCGGCGCGTGGTGGAGCTGGCGCGGGCCGGCTCCGCCACGCTCATCCTGGACGTGAACTGGCGGCCCGTCTTCTGGGAGGCCCAGGGCGAGGCCGTGGCCAAGGCCACCATCCTGGACTTCATAGCCGCCGCCGACCTGCTCAAGGTGACGGAGGAGGAGGCGGAGTGGCTGTGGGGCATCCCCGGCACCCGCGCACTGGAGCACCCCGAGGAGGTGCTGGCCAAACTGCCGGGCGCGCGCGGCGTGCTGGTGTCGGCGGGCGAGCACGGCTCCTCCTATGCCTTCTCCTCCCCCGGCGGCAAGATGGCCAACACCGGCATCGTCCCCGTGCTCAAGATCAAGGTCTCTGACACCACCGGCGCGGGAGACGCCTTCCTGGGGGGGTTCATCTACCACATGCTGGCCAGCGGGGGGTTGCCGGCGCTGCTGGCCGACCCGGAGAAGGCGCGCGCCTCCGTCGAGTTTGCCACCGCCTGCGGGGCCTTCACCTGTACGCAGCCGGGCGCCATCGGGGGGCAGCCCACCCTGGAGCAGGCCAAGGAGCTCCTGGCCACCAAGGCCTAGAGGTAGAGGCAGGTGGGGTCTGTGAGGAAGGTGCGTTCCTTTCGGCTGGAGTAGCCCGGAAGGTTATCATGAATAGCTTCACTGCTGCTCCCCATCCCACCTCGCACCCTGCACATGGCCAACACTCTGTCAAAACGTTCTGAGATTACATGCTTGCGCTCTGAAAACCACTGGTCCCGCCGTTGCAACACGCTGCGGAGCAGCTGCTTCACAGTGAGGATGGGGCTGAGCAGCCAAGCTGGGATGGTATGTGTTGGGTCTCAGAGCACGGGGTGCCTATCATAATAACCATCTTTGACATAGGCATAAGCTGCCCCGACCACGCACTCCAGCTTCAAGTACACAACACAGTACGAGTGCCCCTTAAATCTTTGGCTATAAACAATCTCCCCAGATGGCCAATCCTATTCCCAATCAGGGCATACATGTACAGCTTGCACCTCGCAGCTTGCAGCTCCGTCATTCTCGCCGCCCTCCGGGTTCTAGTACCCTGGCCGAAGCGAGGCAAACAGCTGCATGATGTCGGCCGCGGTGAGTCGCATGTTGAGTCCCGCCGCCTCGCCAGAGGCGTCCTCCCCAAAGCTCGCCGCCACCAGGGCCCGCTTCTTGTTCTGTAGCTCCAGCATTCGGAACTCGATGGTGTCTGCAGTAGTAAAGGTGGCATCGAGGGTGCGTACATTTGAGGAATCAAAGCACCCTTGTCCGGGTATCTGGTGTGCCACGTCACAGATGAGTTGGCATGCTTCTCAGTGGGCATGCCTCTTGACCACCAGGATCACAGTCAGTCCCACCCTTCCACACCCACCGCCACAGGCGTGCCTTTCACCAGGTAGCGAATGACGTGCAGCGTCCGGGTCTGACCGATCCGGTGAGCCCTGTCGATGGCCTGCTCCTCCACCTGTTGGTGTGGGTGGGACATGCGGGGTGTGACCTCACAACTTTGCGGTTTGGATTTGTCCATTTGACTTCCTCGCATAATTGTAGAACTCCAGGCTGCACAGCATGCAGATGCATGCTTCGGCGCCTGCTGCACCCTACTCACAGTCGGATTCCACCAGGGGTCAAGCAGCTGGGGTGGAAACAGGGAGGGGGAAGGGGAGGCTTCAGTAAACTCAGCAAGGGTGAAACTTATAATAGAATGATGGAATAGGGCAGGGAGAAAGCCTTTGAGCATGCAGGTTGGGCTGCAAACACACCCCAAAACCCTCAAGGCTCAGAAATACTGCGCCCCTGGCGCCCTTGCAAGGCAACCACCAGCAGGACAAACCATGATTTACGGCATCACAACAGCAAGGCCTGGTTTACAGATTGCTTCGCCACACTGACAAGACACCCCACTTCACAATGCCACTACCTCATAAAGCCACGCCCCCAACTCACGATGACGTGGTTGGCGCAGGTCAGGTTGACTCCCAGGGAGGCAGCTTTCAGTGAGATAAGCATGATCTCAGTTTCAGGATCGGCAGAGAACTTGGCGATGGCGGCTGCCCGCGCATCGACCGACATGGTGCCGTCCAGGCGCTCAAACCGGAAGCTGCGCGAGGAGGGTCCAGGGCACTCAGTGCTGTGTGAGACACTTCGAGCCGGTTCCAGCTTCCCCAACATCAGATACATCACTGGCAGTGCTCTTTGGTGGAAACATGTCCCCCTCATTGAGCCTCCCTGTCAGGGACGATTCAGCCTAGGCAGACACGGCAGATCCACCCATCTGCATGCTTAGGGTGCGATGCCCTCGACCCCTTTCCCCCCACTACACAACAAACATACGCTGAAATTTTCAGAGGCCCCTCCAGCAGGTTGAGCATGGACGTCCACTGGCTGAAGATGATGACCTTGTCCCGCTCGGCGGCCTCCTTTTCGGCTTTTGGCGCGGAGGGCGGGAAGAGATCCCACACGTCCTGCTCCTTGAACTTGGGCTCCAGTCTCAGGACTGAAGCAGGGCTGCCGCTGCATGCTCGGCCCGGCCTCGGCTGCGGTTCGGTGCCAGGCTCCGGCTTTAGCTCTCGTGGTGCTTCTGCCCCCGGCTCAGGCTTTGGCTCCAGCTTTGGCAGCACCCCTGGCTCAGACTTTGGCTCCACCCCCGGCTCAGGCTTTGGCTCGTGCTTGACGGGAGCCTCGTGGCCTGCTGCCTGGCCTTCATCAGCGGCCAGAGTACGAGTTCAGCATCCAGGTGAGGAGCTTGTGAAGTTCACAGGAGCAGGCCCCCCTTCCCAAGCCTACAGGTCCCAAGCCCAGGATGCGGCCTGCCTTGCGATCCCCTTCCCAACCATCCCGTGACACCACTGCCTCCCACCTGCAGGGCTGCCAGCGCGCAGCACTCGGTGTAGGTAGCGCATCACCGCCCGGATCTTGGCGCTGTGCGGCTGGGCGACAGCGGCTCTCCAGGCGGCAGATGCGATCTGGGCCTCGGTGGCGGGCAGTGCCGCCTCGGGCGCAGTGCCCTCCACCTCCGCCCGCGCCTGGAGCAGCGCCGCCAGGGAGTGTGCGTCGCGCTCGCCCAGCACGCTGCCGCACTGGGGGCAGTGATACGCTAGCTCCCTCTCTGCGGGGAGGGGTAGGGAACTGGGTCATAAATGACTTCCAGGCAAAGCAGAGGGCCGGCTGCTGACCTTGCAGCACGTCCGTGGGGCAGTCGTAAACAAAGCCTGGCAATGTCGCAGAGGTATAATGAGGTGCACAGCTGCAGCCTTCTCGAGGTCTTCCTTTATTCCCTCCTGCACCACCACATACCTGCGTGGCCATGGCCGGCCTCCGTCACCTTGCTGGCGATGCACTGGCTGCAGAAGACGTGGCCGCACCCCGACGCCACCGGGCACTCGGCCAGGTCGTGGCAGATGGTGCACTCTGGCGATGGATTTCGGGAGGGAGCGGGTGAGAGTGGCGGCGCTGTTGAATGTGCGCACCGGGTTGGAATCCGGGAGGGTCCATGCCTGAGGCACGAATTCACACTGTTCGCCACTCGACGCACAATTGGGGCTTCTCTGTGCGGCTCACATCCTTTGTGAAGGCTGGCCTTGCCGGCAAAGGCTCTCGACCGCAAGAGCACACATGTGTGGCGCCTGGCTAGAGAGGCTGGCGGCCCTCCGCTCTCCCCCCCATCGTGCACACTGCCTCCCCAGCAGGCAGCAGGCCCACTGCTCGTACCGTGAGGCCCATGTGACAGCAGCTCGACGAGGGCAAGCCTCTTCTCGCTGGTCAGTCGCACGGCAGCCGCTTTCTGAGAGGGATGGAGGCGAGGGTGGGACGTAGGCGCTCGCTCGAGCTGTGCAGAGGGGTGGAAAGGGGCGCGGACCGGCTCACTCCAGCAGCCCCATGCACTCGAGTCCCACCTCCTCCGGCGTGTATGTGGCGAAGTCGGAGCGCGCGTTGCGCACGAGCTGGGGGTGGTCGCAGGCCTGGCGCAGGCGCAGCAGCTGCTGCAGCATGCTCAGCACATTGAAGCGCGTCGGATCCGCCTCGCTTTGAGCCCTCTGTTTTGGGAGGAAAAGGGGGCACGGGCGGGGGGCTTGGTGACCGACATCAATGCAGCGCAAAGAGCAAGACGGCTCAGGAGATGTTGCTCCCCATTCATTGCCCGCCGCACCCACCTGAAACTCGGTCTTGGCTTCCGCCTCGAGCTGCTGATAAAACTCCTCCTCCTGTTTGGAGAAGGTCAGCGTCGTCAGCTCGATGCGCTTTTCGGGCAGCGACAGCAGCGGCCTGCCGTCGATGATGGTGCGCTTGGTCCGCCGCAGCAGGACAGGCTGCGAGATAGGAACATGGATTCTTGCATGAGGGATGAATAAGTTCCAGGGCGCTTGACATATAGCATGTAGACGATGACCCTGCCCTCCATACATGGGTAGGAGCACTCGCGGTGCATACGCCGAGGGACTGCACACCTGGAGGATGGCGTGGAGGTGCCGCGGAGCCCTGGCGCCGTTCTCGGGCTGCACCGTCTCCTTGATGAATGCCTGGAAGGTCTTCAACTGGTCGTAGGGGTGATACCGCTGCAGGGGATGAGTCAGAGTTTGTATGGATCGAGTGCGAGCGAGCTTCTTGAGGTCAGTGTTGCCCAGGGCCGAACAACATTATGGGTGGAAGGCGGGCACGACGAGCACGACGTGCACGACAGTTTGTTGCCCAAGCGAGGCACGCACCCTTCCTGCACACCGCACTGTCACTCAAAGGGTGCATCCCAGCGGCCGCTTCCCATCCCTCCCTCCCCTCATCAAGACATCACCCCCTATCGCCCCCACCAGGAACTTGAAGTAGGAGAAGAGGTCGTTGATGGAGTTCTGGATGGGGGTGCCGGAGAGGCACCAGCGACAGCGCGCCCTCAGGGCACAGGCCGCGTGCGCCGTCAGCGTCTTGGCGTTCTTGATGCACTGCCCCTCGTCCAGCACCAGCCGGTGCCAGCGGATGGCAAACAGGTCCCCGCCGGGCCGCCTCACCACCTGCTCATCGCCGTCGCGGCCGCGCTTTCCAGCCTGGCGCGCCGCCACGACGCAGCGGGTGGGGCTCTCGTGCGTCATGCTGTGGTAGGTGGTGAGGACCACGCTGTAGGACGCCAGCTCCCGCCGCAGCACGCGCTTGCCTATTAAGAGGGGGGCAGGGTGCCGATACTGAAAGGATTGGGGAAAAGGGTGGAGCCAGGGAGGAGCCTCATGCACCGCCAATGCTTGTGATGGCAGCCCAACATGCTCTCGAGGTTGGAACCAAAGATGCACCCCGTCGGGCGCGTCGGTGCGCTCCTGCGCACGGTCAACCCTACACCCCCAAAACACAAAGATCCTCCACCTTCCACCCAAGAATGTCACCTGGGCCATGGTAGATGTGCACTGTGAGCCCCGCCTCCGGGGTCGTCTTGCTCTTGATCTCTGCCGCCCACTGGTGCAGGACGGAGGTGGGGCACACCACGAGGGTGCCTCCGTGCAGGACCTCTGGCGGCGGCTCCGCATCCTCCCTTTCCGGCGTCCACAGCACGGTCTTCCCCCGAGCAACGCCCGGCGGCGGCGCCGAGGGTCCGGCGTCGTCGCTGTCACCCAGCAGGTCGACCTCGATCACCTCCCCCCGCAGCGAGGGGGAGCCCCTTGCCGGGAAGGGCTCCCGCTTGACCGGGGTCAAGGCCCTGCCGGCCCCACCCGCCGTCAGGTCCAGGCACACCGGCTCCTTGCCCTGCCTCCTCCCGGGAAGGCCCGCGCCGTCCTGGATGTCCGCATGTTGTACCCCTTCCTCCTTGACGAGGAGGGCACTGGACCCTGCAGGATGCTCTTCCCCGCCCGCTCTCTCCCGCGCCGCGCTCCCCCTTTCCAAAGGGGATGCGGATCGGCGGGCGGTGTGCGTCGGTGGGGCGGCGATGATGAGGGCGATGGTGGTCAGCGTCTTGCCCACTCCCTGCAGGGAAGGGCAAACAGAAGGGGAGTGTCCCAGGTGTGGCAGCTCGTGCTTCCTGTTTGAGGGCGGTCAGCACTAGTGCGAGGAGCAGCCTGGGTGCCAGTGCACCATGCCAGCCAAGAGACCCCCCCACACCCACGCTCTGACCCACATACCTGGTCATCCGCCAGCATTCCGCCCATCGGCAGGCACCCGCGGGTCTCCCGCGCCACCATCCAGCCCAGCGCCAGCCGCTGATGAGTCATCAGGGGCACCCGCAGCATTCCCTGCGGTTGGTCACGAGCACATGATTCATGGATCCTGCGCGCTCACAGACCACGACCCAGGGTCCCCACCGCTGCACCCTTCCCACTCCCTGGCAGTCACCTGGGGCACATCCATCGCCACGCCCTGGCCCACGGCGGCCAGACCATCAATCACGGCCCGCGCGGCGGCGGCGGGCGCGATGGCGCCGCCCGACCCCTCCCGGGACGCTGAGTACGGGTGGGGGTACGCGCGATGGAAGGGCCGGGCGGGGTAGGGCGGGCCGGGGCCGAAGCCGCCGGGCGCCGGCCGGTCGAAGGCCGACGGAATGGCCGCGCCATTGGGCCGCCCGGATCCCTGGCGGTCCGTGTACCAGCCCGGGGAGGGGGGCTGCTGCCGCGGGACCAGGGCCTGGGGGCCCGAGCGCGGGGCCGGGTCCTCACCAGCCTCGCGCGGCGCCGGCGCGGGGAAGTCCCGGGCCCCGGCGCCGCCCCCGCTCTGGGCGTGGGCGGGGAATAGGGTGCCGCGCCGGTCCCCGCTCCTGGGCTCTGGCTCGGGGACCGGGCGCGAGAGGAGCATGGGGTTGAAGGGGGCCCTGCCCCGGTCTGCGAAGCGGGGCAGGCCAGGGAAGGCGCCGGGGCGGGGGGAGGCGGAGGGCGCCGCGGCCCGAGGGCCTGCCTGACCCGGTCGGGTCGTCCCGGGGTTGCCCTCGCGGGGCGGCGCCAGCAGGCTCTGCACCCGGTCGCCCATTGCCTGCACCACGCCAGGCACCCAGGCCCTCAGGAAGGAGGCGGGGACCTTGCGGCCCTGCTCCGCGGGGCCGGGTGCCGGGCTGGCGGGACCTGTGGGGCCGTCGCGGCCAGCTTGGGAGGGGTCTGCCTCGGCTCCCACAGGGTTGCTTTCCAGCTCCTCACCCTCATCCTCCTCCAGGTCGCTGGACGGGGCGCTCGAGCCCCCAAAGGAGAGTGAGAGCCCTGGGCCAGGGATGTTTGGCCAGTCCTCCGATTCGCCAGAGGTGTAGGTTTCACTTCCCATGGCGCTCAGCTGTGGTGATACAGAGTGGTCAGGGGTGAGTAGCAGTGCATTGGAGCCGAGACATGCATGTTGTGCCATGCACTACCATTCTGGGGCCACAAAACGCGCCTGTGTGGGCTTGCTGGGGAGCGCAAGGCCGTTGCCGGGCTGGCACCCGCGCACAAGGAGACCCTGCCCATCGTCAAGGACGCGAGCCCAAAATCACGGTGCCATGACAAGCATTGGGTTGTGATGTCTAGGATGTTCTGCCCTCACCCGCGTTAATCTCTGCGACCAGGACGATTCCTGTGTTTTGGATCCGACATCCCAGCACGCATGGCATGCAGGCACTCACCTGGCCCCCTCACCTCCCAGGGATGCTCGCCAGAAACAGAGCACACCCGGCAAGCCAATATCATCACGTCGGAGAACTCTCCATCAGGCTCAATTGGAGTGGCTCGAGAAGGTCTGTGACGACCGGGCAGCTTGGCGTCAGGCTTGAAAACACGCAGCTCCGGGCTCTCGCTGCATAACCCAGACGCGGAGCCATGGGTTTCCTGGCGGGGCTGCGCACAGCCATGCACCAGGAACCCATCATAGTGTGGTCGGTCATCATCGGCGGCACGGGTGGGTTGTGCCCTGGGTGGCAAAGCGGGTCTCGCACCGGAGGTGCCCTTCGACGCGAAGCAAGTGCTGAGCTCTGGATTGTGGCGCCGAATAGCGTCCCAAGGAGCTCACGAACCCGCCGAATGGCATGCACCGGGTCTCGATGTGTTCTACTGCGGACTGGGGGACGTGCCTGTGCGCCCAGGCACCCTCCAAAGGAGGTGACCCCCTCCCCTTTCCTCACACACTCAGGGGTCATCCTGCCGCTGGTGGGCCCACCCATCCGTGAGGCCCTGGGGTATGGCCGTAGCTACCCTGCAGCCCCTCCCCCGCTCAAGGACGTGCTGGACAGGAACGTGAAAACCCCGGCCCTGGATGCCAAGTGAGCACTGCCGGGCGACATGCAGCCCTCACCCCGCAATGGCCATGAGAGGGCCACTCTTGTCGGCCGCACCTCGGGCACACCGCGACACCGCACTGGCTCCCTGCCTATTTCGATTCCCCAAGGCTCCATGCTCTGCCTGCCCGGTAACAGTACACTGCTGTAATGGTGCCTCGACGCTGTGTCGGCGTAGAGCACATTGTAAATCGTAAGATCAACCAAGACGCACAGTCTCCAGCCCTGTCTGGAGCTCATCTAGCATTCCCCCTTCGTCATCATCGTCGTCGTCGTCGTCAAACAGCTCCGCCTCCTCTGCCTTGGACAGCTGCACCTGCGGTGCAGCGGGCGCGATGGCGCCCTGCTTCTCGCCGGCCGCCGCTGTTGTGCCCTGGCCCGCCTCCTCGGCGCGCCCAACCCCAGCCGAGGCGGCGGCAGCAGCTGCGGCGGCTCTCTCGCGCGCCGCAGCTGAAGCCCGGGCGAACTCTGCCTCCTCGTCGACCTCCCGCAGGTAGCCGGAATCGTCTGCGGCAGCCAGGTCGTCTGCCGCCACAAAGCCCTCCTCTTGGAAGATCTCGCGGCCTGTGCACATGGCAGGGGCGGAGGGTTGCCAGGACGAGGGGTCAAGTGGCACAGCGCATGGCAATTTGTGTTCCATTTCAGATGCAAAGCTGTAGGATGACCGCTTACAGGTCCAGCAAGCCAACCACCAACCCTTTCCCACGAGTTGCCACTCACCGGTGAGGAGCCCCTTTCTTCGTCGCTCCTCCTCCTTCTCCGCCTGTGCCTGCATCTTGACGGCATGCTTCCCAGCACGCCACTGCAGAAACGTCTGTTGGGATGTGCGCAGGGGCGGAGGTGAGCATCTTCTGCGTGACATGCTTTGCCGTCATATCCTGAGGTGATGGATGAGACCCTTTCGCATGCCGGCTTGCATGTGAGTGCAAGGTAGGCTCATGGGCATCCACCAGGGTCCCTCTGCATACCTCGTTGTTGATGGGCGTCTTGGCGTCCACCTTAGCACGCTCCTCCTCGATGATCTCCTCCACCGACGGTTGCTGCCCAAGAGGATGCAGGGATGGGGTTGCAAAGAAGGCTGTGGGTGCGTTGGTCGCCATGTGCAGGGCCCGCAAGGATGAGCACAGCACAAAAACAGACCACTCGACCTCCCCCCTTTGCCTGCAGCAGTGCACTAACCAACGCTGCCAGCACATGATTCCCATGAAACAACCACAGAAATCCACCGCAACCCACGTTAGCTGCCTCGGCCTCCAGCAGCTCCTTCATCTGAGACTTCATGATGTAGCCTGGAGGCAGGGCGTGTCTGTACTTGCACTCCTTGCCGTTGGGGCATTGCCAGAACCTGCGAGCGATTTCAGTGGGATGGTGATTTTGAGGGTGATAATCGAACTGGGCACCATGCAGGGACATGTGTTGGACGTGAGAAGCACATAACGGACGGGCTTTCTGGAGTCTCAGTTCCCCCATACAGAGGCGCTCGGTAGCCCAGCCGCCCTCCCGGTTGTGAAAAGGGACCCCCATTTCGACGCACCAGCCGTACTGCTTCTTCTCCACGGCGTCCAGGAAGTAGCGGCAGACGATGGCGGTGGGGCGATTCTTGTTCTCCAGCCCATGCTTCTCAGCAATTGCCTTTTCTAGCTGCTCCATGTCCCACTCGCCCATCCCCCCAGACTCCCCATCGGCGCCGTCGCGGCTGCGGATGAGGACGAGGGTGGGGGAGGGGTGGACTAGGGGGACAGACTTTCAAGATTCCAGCCAGAGCCATCCAGTGTCCGCAGGCAGTAGATACAATCACATGACACTCAAATGGTGTAGTCTGGATGCCTATTGAGCACACCCTGCATTCCAGATTCCCTCTTCCAGCAAGCCCCTGCCACCCTCAGAGGGAGCCTGCCGACAGGCACGTCGCTCACTTGTCGGAGTAGACATCTGCCTTGGCCGTCTTGCGCTCGATGTTCAGGTCGTGAGAGAACTTGCACTTGAAGCCCTTGGTGCACTTGCCGTGGCGGTGGAACTCACACAGCACGGTCTTGGGGTCCACTCCTAGAGAGGGGAGGGAGGGGGGGGGGCGCGGGCGTGAGAAATGCCAGCATTGACTCCTTCGAAAGCCTCATGGGGGGCTGGAGAGACTCCAGTCCGCTGGAGACTGCCCATGGGCCGAGCGCCAGGGTGCTCCACACTACAACACTCCCCTCTCTCAGCTTGCATGAATGCACTCATGGCAAGGACCTGCACACCCCAGCACCCCTTCACTATTCCATACCTTCCCCGAGCTTGGGCTGCTTGATGGTCAGCATGAACAACTCGTCCAGCTCCTTCTGGCGCTCCATCTCGGCCTTTTTCTTGTCCTGCGCCATTGTGCGAGGGGTGGGTTTATTGGAGGCAGCAGCCAGGCAGGATGCGGCTCCTCCATGGGGGGGCGTCCAGCTTGAAGCACAAATCAGCAAGAGGTGTGAATGGCCGCTTCCTCGATCTTTTAGTCCCTTCCAAAAGCCTGGTACGACTGCAGTAGCCCTGCAGCTTCCCTCCCCTCCCAGATTGCACCACCCAGTCAGGAGAACCAACCTTTCGAGATGGCTCCTCCAGGCGCTGCTGTTTGTGACTGGGCTGCTGGGAAGCCTGGATCTGCTGGACATACTTTTGTACCACCTGAACGGGCGGAAGAGGGGAGGGAAGCTGCTTCGTTACTATCTGGACGAGAGGCATGTCCTCCATCATCTCACAGCGGAAGCACTTCCTCCAGCCAGGCCATGCAAGGTATTGCAAGCACTATCAAATGCCTCCAGCCTTGCAACTGCACCTTGGACTTGCTCTTGTTCTTCAGGCCAAAGGTCTTGTCCTCTACGATCTGCATGGGGCGGCCCCGCGAGGCTTCGGGACTGAGGTGTCAGAGTGGATGGCCGGGGATGTCGCGGCAATGCACACGTGCCCAGGTCGCCGACATGCCCCCGTCGCCGACCACTTGGAGGCTTTTGCATTTTAGACTCGCCCATGCGTACCTTCTGGGTCGCCGCAGCATTCTTGGTCGTGGCCTTCTTGGGCGGCATGGCGAGCGTGCTGAAACCGGCCTGGCGCTGGGATTGGGGTGCTGCCGATGCCGGCGTCGATCTAGGAAGGGGTAGGGCCACACTGTGTCGTGCGCAGGATGCCGAAGGGGTTCCCCTTTTGCATGCTGCCCGTGTTGCCCCGCCTTGTGGATCCTGGCGCGCGCTGCGACCAGGCGGATGGCCCCCATGTTGTTTGGAGCCTGGCGGATGTCGCGGTGATCACCCCGTCCCTTCCTGATTTTCGTGCCCATGATGGTGTACATGTGCCCTGCTCACACATCCGCAAGGATCGCACAGTTCTACTGCCACCCCCTTCAAGCATGCCACGCAGCCGAAACATCCACGGCGCCCGCCCCCCCGCACTCTCGCCGCTCAGGCCGCTTTGCCGGCCTCCAGCTTGGGCGTGATGGTCAGCGCCCGGATGCCCAGGTAGGCGCACACCTCCCTGATCACGCTGACCACGTAGTGGATGTACCCTGCCACGACGACGGCCGCCACGGCGGCGGCCAGCGGCGCCGGCCGCAGCAGCGGCCCTGCGCCCGGGAGCAGCCCGTTGGCCACCTGCAGGCCCATGGCGGCCAGGGGCCAGCCCGCCACCCTGAACGGCTCCTTGGCCATGTGCGCCATGATAAGGCGCGTCAACTGCAGCGCGTAGGCGGTGCCGAAGGCCGCCATGCGCAGGCGCACGGGCCCACCCGCGCCGGCCGGCAGGGCCACCAGCGCCGCGCCCAGGCCCAGGGTGCTCGCGATCTGGGCCAGGTGCGAGGCGGCCACCCCCCGCCCAAACTGGCGGTGGTCGCCCGCCTCGGCGGCGGCCGCGGCGCGCTCCGCGGCGAGGCGCGGGCAGGGGAAGAAGACGCGGCCCAGCTGCTCGCCCACCATGAGGCAGCCCATGCCGCCCAGCGCCAGCACGGCGCAGGCGTTGAGCGGCAGGCGCGCCAGCCCCGGCAGCAGGCCGGCGGGCAGGCGCGAGGCCACCGCCGGGGTCAGCGCCAGGCGCGCGGCGCCGCCCGCCAGCGGCGTGCGCGCCCAGAAATCAGGGCCCAGCACCCCCGCGGCGGCGTGCAGGAGCACCACCGCGTAGTTGGCCTCCGTCACGCCCCACAGCCCGTTGCCGTACACCATGTGCCCGGTGTGGTACTCCTCCCAGTGCGCCAGCACAAAGGGCGTGAAGACCACCAGGTTGCCCAGCACCAGGCGCCAGTCGGGGGACATGCCCAGGCTGACCATCAGCTGGGATACCACCAGCTGCACCACCAGCGAGTCGCAGCCTTGGGGGGGTTGAGAGTGGGTGAGGGTTGTGCATGTAGGTCCATGGGGTTGTTCAGGATTGGGTGAGCGAGGCGTTGGATAGGTTGGTGGGCG